GGGGGGGGGGGGCGTTCTCTGTGTACCTCTCCTCCTTTTTGACTCTCTCTGATTTGGTGAAGTAGAAAGAGATACAGTCGAGAACTAACACTGCATGGAACTGAGAATAAGAGCTGGTTCTTTAGGTAAAATTTTAAAATGCCTTGTATACCATTGTGAATCTGGATATGCCGTTGCCTCCATAGCCCTGCATTACCTTTCCACAGTTTTCGCTGCTGGCATGGAGGATGCCGCGTTGCGGCTGGGACGTGGCCACACTTTGATCTGAGTAATCGCCACTGTTGCTCTTATTGCTTCGACATCCAATTTCACTTCTCTCTCCCTCTCAGTCTTGTTTCTTCTTCCTTCACTGGACACAGCCTCCATCATGCACATATTTCACACTCTCTTCCTTTGTTTATTATTTTAAATTGATCTGCATTGTTGAAAGTGTTACAGATATTCCATTTTCCATTGTGTCCATGGGTTATGCATATAGACATGTAAGTTCTTTAGTTAATCTCTTCCTGTTACCCCCCCCCCAACCCCTTCCCTCTGAGATTCGTCAGTCTGTTCCAGGCTTCCATGTCTCTGGATCTCTTTTGTTCATCCGTTTATTTTGTTTATTAGACTCCACATATAAGTGAGATCATGTGGTACTTGCCTTTCTCTGACTGGCTTATTTCACTTAGCATAATACTCTCCAGGTCCCTCCATGCTGTCACAAAGGGTAAGAGATCCTTCTTTTTTATACCTGGATAGTATTCCATTGTGTAAATGTACCACAGCTTAAAATTTTTTTAAATTAATATACATTGATTTCAGAGAGAGGAAGGGAGAGGAAGAGAGAGATAGGAACAATGATGAGAGAGAGTCATTGATTGGCTGCCTCCTGTATGCCCCTGACTGGGGATCGAGCCGCCTGCAACCCGGGCATGTGCCCTGACTGGGAATTGAACTGTGATCTTCTGGATCATAGGTTGACACTCAACCACTGAGCGATGCTGGTTGGACATGTACCATAGCTTTTTTATCCATTCATCTACTGATGGGCACTTGGGCTGTTTCCAGATCTTAGCTATTGTAAATTGCCCTGCTATGAACATAGGAGTGCATATATTCTTTCTGATTGGTGTTTCAGGTTTCTTAGGATATGTTCCTAGAAGTGGGGTAACTGGGTCAAAAGGCAGCTCCATTTTTAATTTTTTGAGGGGCCTCCGTACTGTTTTCCATAGTGGCTGCACCATTCTGCACTCCCACCAGCAGTGCACCAGGGTTCCCCTTTCTCCACACTCTCGCCAGCACTTTTGGTTTGTTGACTTGTTGATGGAGCCATTCTGACAGGTGTGAGGTGAGATATCTCATTGTCATTTCAATTTGCATCTCTCTGATGATTAGCAACGTTGAACATTTTTTCATATGTCTCTTGGCCATTTGTATGTCCTCTTTGGAGAAGGTCCTTCACCCATTTTTTAAATTGGATTGTTTGTCTTCCTTTTGTTAAGTTGTATGAGTTCCTTATATATTTTGGAAATTAACCCCATATCAGATGTATCATTGGCAAATATATTCTCCCAGACAGCGGGCTCCCTCAAAAATAAAATGTAGTAAAGGACTTTGTAGTTCTTTACAGTGTCTCCCCCTAGGAGGCATCCGGAAATGTGTGGGATCAATGTTTGGCTATCGCAGTGCCTGGGGGTTGCTATTAGAATTTGGTAGACAAGGGTGCATGGGTGTCAGACAATGTGCAGTGTATAGAATGTGGTCTCAGATTCTGGCGATTTTCCCTGTATTATATATCAGTAACACTATTGCTGAGAAAATCTAGGTGTAACTAATTTTAGGTGGGTACCAGGAACCTTAGCCAATAGGGAATTTTAATAGTGCCTTGATGGGTAGATGGTAAAATTTCCTCTAGAATCTAGAATGACGCCTTCCTGGCATGTAGTAGGCCCCTAATAAAGCTATGTTGCATTTTGAATCATGTTCATTTACAAACTAGTCAACACCATTCAATAAGTCCTATGCAAGTTACTCTCAGATATAGAAAAAATAATTTAAACACACTTGCTAACATCAAGAGTCTAACAGTTCCATAGGGGTGATGATTATGTACAGAAATAAGACGAGTGCATTGATAAATTTTTAAAATGCTATAGGAGCACGGAGAGGTGAGAGTTTGCTTTTGAGCAGAATGTTGGGAAGTCTTTTAGGAAACCATTGAAGAATAGGTAGAATTTTAATAGGGGGTTATTTGGGGAGACACTTGCTGAAGTCAAAGGTACATTGTATGTAAGAACTTGGAAAAAGAAATAGGAAAGTATAGGAATATTGTTACCATAAAGGACAGAACTTAAGATGCGGTGGAAGATAAGACTAAAAAGACAGGTTAGGATAGAGTATAGATGGCCTTGAACTTCTTGTCAAGGAGTCTTTCCACTTGAAGGTATGGATTTATGTATGGGTTTCTTCATTGGAGGTAGGGTATAGCATCCTGCCTAATGGTCTAAACTTTGCCTCAAAGTCCTTCTTTCTGAAGTCCATCTTATAAACTCCCTCAGTTATCAGCTGCTTAAACTTGCCTTCCTGATTTTCAAGGTCTCCTCTCAGAAGCCCTTTCAGTTTATTAATTTAAATAGTAGCAATTTTCTGGAGGTGAATCACATAATGATTTTTCTCAATCTCTTTTATACATGATATCGCTGAAAAAGGTATGATTAGATTCAATTTCGATTGTCTCCCACAAAAGTAATATGTAGAAAATACCAACCAAGGTGACTCTCTATGTGCTTAATAGCCTAAAGATTTAGGTTAAGGCTGTAACAGAGAGGATCGTTCTGCTTAAAGCATGAGTAGGTATGGCACAAATTATCTTAAAGAGCCAAAAACAACGTCCAGTTCTTAAGAACTTGAAACAATTTGTTCTTGGAATATTGTCAGCTAAAACTGTGGTCAAGTTTTGCAAGTTGTATGAATTTGCACTGCATATTTTACTTAGTGTTTAGCAAAACTCCAATATGGTTCTGCATAACTTACACAATGCACCATAGAAAATGACTTCAGAAACTCCCACAGAAGTTGACAATTTGGGCATCTAATGCTTTTAAGCTAATTATATGCTTAACAGTTAAAAAGTCAACTTGTTAAGAATGAGAATCACAGTTTTGGTAGATAATGCTCTGCCTACTGCCACAATGAATGCAACCCAACCCTGTATCAGAAATATTACAGAAGCTTGAAGAAGAAAGTAATGCGAGCTTTCATCACCATTCTACTTAGTCGTAAGCAAAGTGCTCATGAATCATACGCAATATATCACAGCAATTTTTAATTCTCTTCTTGTATTTTCAAGCTGTTGTTTTCAGAGGATTTAGAATGCAAATTGTTAAGAGTAAGTTTCGTATCATTACTTATGTCATTTCTTCTTTCTCCCTTGCAGACTGGAAGAAAGGAAAGGAGTAACACCCTGAATACTGCAATAGACAACATGTGCAAGAAGACAAGGGACCTTCGCAGACAGGTAAGGGAAGAGGGACATGGAGACAGAAGCGCCATGCAAAACGAACTTTTTTTCCATTGCTGGAATGCTTATTTCTTGTTTTTGTTCTCTTAAAATTAATTTAGAACACGGAACAAGGACAATAAATATGCCCTTTCCGCATTACATACCTCAACTGTTTTTGTGACAAACATAATCTCGAAGGAAGTGTGTCACTTATTATCAGTCAGGGTTACATTTAAATGCTGACTCTGCCCTTATCTGCTGTGTGATCTTGGGGACAGATTTTTATCTTTTTGAGCCTCTCTGAGCTTATAAAATGGAATTAATCATACACAATAGGGCCGTGAGGATTCAATGAAATGCCTATCAGGGCCTGGTACATAGTAAGTTTTTAGGGAATGTTGGTGAATTGATTCTATTACATTAAAAGCTAGTTTATCATCCAAATGCTTAGAGTAAATAGTTAGTCATTCAGGCACCCTACCAGTTACTCCTTCCAGGTACTTTTCAGGATGTTTCACAAGTTAGTTTCTGTTTAAGTTAAGGCTCCTTTTCAAACTTAGGTCATCAAGAGCATAGGATTAGAAAGAATTTCATTATATAATTATGCCACAAATTAATTCCCCCTTTCCCAGAAATATGAAGACTTTGCTTTTTTCAAAGACTCTTGCTTTCCATTCCTTTCCACTATTTAAAAACCATAGTTCTTTTTCATGCACAACTTTAACTTGGTCACCATTAACTCATAAAAGAGGGCCAAAAGCTTTTCAACCCTAAGCTTTTAATGCAATATATTACTGCAGTTTAATGGGAAGATTTAGTAAAATGACCTGAGCAATCTTTTAATCCAGAAATAGATTTGGGAAAGGAATAAATAGGGATCCCCAGCCAGTTAAAATTAGCTGTGGAAAACACAATTTTGAAGGCTGGGAAACATCCAGAATCTCAACTTTATGGATTCAATGTGAATTCTGTTTCTACTGTCAGCACTTAGAATTATGGAATATAAGAGCTGGAAGGAACTTAGCACAACCTGTCTTATGACGCAGAGGAGAAAGCAAGCCAGTGTGGTGAGGTGGTCTAAGGAGGAAGGGGCATCGCATCTACACTGGGTCAGAACCTACAGTGGACTCAGGGACTCTTAACCCCAGGGCCATCCTCCCTGTTGGTTGCTTGGCTTCTATTCTGGATCTTCTTCAGGATTTCTACTCCATATTCTCCTCCTAGGATTTGGAAAAGTTGTTCCTATATCAGCAATTTTGTCTTTCATTCCTCTCATCCCTCTATGCCTTTGATGAAGTCATGCACAAAGAGTTAATCTACATTTATTATCTCCAAAGCTTTGGAATCATTATTTTAAATTTATCTTTATTTTTGAAAGTATTACAGATGTCCCCCTTTTTCCCCCATTGACCCCCTCCATCCTGCTCCCACTCCCTCCCCGGGCCTTCACCACACTATTGTCCATGTCTATGGGTTATGCATATATGCATATAAATTCTTCGGTTAACCTCTTCCCCCTAACCCCCAACTCTGCTTTCCCTCTGAGGTTTGTCAGTCTGTTCCATGCTTCTATGTCTCTGGGTCAGCTTTGTTCATCATCAAGATAAAGCAATCCTTTGTGTGTAGAATTATCAGATTTAGCAAATAAAAGCACAGGATGCCTAGATAAATATGAATTTCAGATTAACAACAAATATGTTTTAGTATATGTATGTCCCAAATATTGCATGTGACATATTGTATTTAAAAATAGTTGTGTTTATCTGAAATTCAAATTTAACCAGGCATCTTGTAGTTTATCTTATAATCCTACTTGAGTTTCTACTTCACTATTGTCAGTAAGATATAGAAAGAACATGGGGGATTACTGATACTTTTTCTCATAGTAAGGGAATGTTTCCAGCTTGTAGAGAACTGTTGTGTTCCAGAGGTATGAAAACTCAGTGTGGCATCACAGGTCAATATCCTCATTGCTTTGGTTAAGTGTTGCTGCTGAACAAGCCACCACAATGATAGCAACCATTTTATTATGTTCACAATTCCATGAATCAACAGAGTCAGCAGGGCCACTTCTGTAGTGTTTTCACTGTGGTCTCCCATGCAGTGGCAGTCAAATGGTGGCTATGTCTCAGCTCAGAGCTGGGTATTTGAGGCCTCAGGGCCCCTTCTTTCCTCTCGCAGTGCACTGTTTAATCTCCGAACCCTTCTTGTGGCTTCTCTCTCCAGCAGCGTAGCCTGGATTTCTTACATGATGTTTCAGGGCTCCAAGAAAAGAAAGATGGAAGCTGCCAGGCTTTCTTAGTGCCTGAGTTCCAAAGTCACTAGAATGTTGTTTCCTCCACATAATATAGATTAAAATTGTCACAAACCCTCTCCGAGGTTAATAGGAGCAAGTAGAGCAATATCTCTTGTGGGAGATGAGTGTGAGTACTCAGGAAGGGGTGGGATCATTAGAAGCTGTCTTTGTACGCATCCATGGCCTTCAATGTCAGTGAGGTAGTTGCTATGATTCATTCTCAGTATCCTAATTGTTCTGATGTTCATGCTTCTAGCAATAATAAAAACTAGTTTAAACAGCAACATGAGTCATCTCCGCCTCTTCTTATTCTTGCAAAGTTTTTCAAGCAGTTTGGTTTAAGCACCTTAACTCTTTCACATAGGAAGGAGAAAGGCACAACCCTTGAAGTGTTTTTCTTTGGAATATTTAATGTTCATCTCTTATTATAGATCTCTTTGCTTTTGGTAAAAAATAATCAGAGCCCATCTTTCTGCCCATTCGTCCTAATTCCCTTGCTTACCCATGGCTTGTCAATCAGCAACACAAAGACATTTTAGCTTTGGCTCAGAGAACCACTGGATTTCATTCATCCGTGAGGAATGAGACGGATTGCTTAAACATACCTGGGGGGAAGCAAATTATACATTTTGGGGCAACAAGGTGAACTGTCCTAGTAGGTCACATAGAGTTTGTTTCAACCCTCTTGTTCTGCGACTTTAATGCCTGTTTTACTTGAGAACAAAGACAAAAGTCCTTGGCATGGTGTTCCCTGTCATTTGGCTCCAACTTAATCCCCATAATTCTTAATGTTCCTTCTCTTTTCACTCGCTCTCTCTATTCTTCCTGCTCACCACACCAGCACATTAGCCTGTTCTCTAACTAAAAACTCTACTTACTATTCACCAATTTCCCATCACCTTTCTCCCCACTCCCAAACACACATGTGTCTTTGAATATATGGCTTGTTCAACTGGGTGCCTTCCCGGCTCCCTCTATGCCCCATACCCAATTAGGGAATTGACTGAGGAAGTTCAAGACTAAAGTAAATGCTACCTCTCTCATGAAACCTTTGAAATTTTCATCAGCTGGAAATTCATTTTATTCCCCCTCGAGCACATATAGCATGTGTCGTTCTATTATAGCAGTCATCACATTCAGCCAGTATTTCCCTTCCCACTGAATTTTAAACCCTTAAAATGATAGTTATGACAACGTCTCTCATTTAATAAATGCTTTCCAAAGCTCTCTACCTTTCATTATTGATTTTTATCCCTGAAACAAGAAATAATGCCATAGTATTATCTTTGTCCCTAAGGTGAGTCAACTTATTGAACAGCAGCCAGCCAACTGGTAGAGCCAACATTTGAGCCCATGTCCATTCAGCCTCTGCTCAGATTTGTAACCGCTACCCTCTGGGCCAGTCCACCTTCAGAATTTTTAGTGCCTAATGCCCTGATTTTGCTATCATAAATTATTTTATTCCTTATTATTTATTTTACATGTTTTTAAAAATTCAAATATTATTCTTCCTTAGTCTTCTTTCCCATTATTTATTTGAGAAATTCATACCTATTGAAATTCTTAAAAGGGAGGAAAATTTTAAAACCTCCTTTACTTCATTAAAAAATTAAAACAATGAATTAATTCTATATCTATTGTATTATTCCAAGTAAAATGTGCATTTACTTTGATGGAAGGCAAGTTAAAATTTTTATGTGTGTATTTTGAGAAAAAGATTGTCTGTCTCTTAGATGCCAAAGTAAGGACTGTAGGTATGTCAAATAAAATAGGATTCTGGTAAAAAGAAACAAAGAAAATGAAAACTTGATTAATTCTTTATTTGCTGAGTTGCTGAATTGCTATATCCACCTCTTCTTCATGTTGGTAGTACCAGTGCCACACTCAGAAAAAATATGTAGGTTTTTTCCTGCTCGTTCTCATCATCAAATGATAGTAAGTATCCATAAGGTACAAGTCCCATTAAATTGACACAGTATTTATATGCTGAATTAATTATTAGGTAATTTAGTTCCGATTAGTCAATTGAGTTTTGAGAGTTACATTGTGCTATTTGACTTAAAATTAAATTGGCATCAATATACACAAATACACATTTTCCTAGTTCCCTAAGGATGATTCTTTTCTAAAACACTTTCTCTTCTTTCCCCTTCGCCTGACAATTTCATCCTCTCTGTTCCTTATTTGGTGGTTGTGGTGGGACAGGGTTTTTTTAGTTTCACATATAGCTTTCACTTTGGGGTTTCAATTGTAGAGAAATATATTATTTTTTATTTGAGATCCCAAACTACTTACATCAGTGGGAGATACAAGAATTGATGTCTCAAAGCCTTTTATTAAATTGTAGTGAGAAAGATGGAAAGCCCCTCAGTTTGGTTTTGTGCCTGACATCTTTCATCCAGGTATTTATTAAAAATACATACCTCTAGTTCCTATTGGCCTCTCACTGACTCCAACTTTTAGTTTTGCAGCTTCTAAGGTTATCTTACTTCTACACTGGCGTGTTGGATTCTTCTTTAAAGTTTTTTGTCCATCACCTAAGTGAAAGGAATGAGTTATTCCATTGGACAGGAAAGTAATATGGAAATAAATAAGATAGAAAATGCATACATATTTATATAGATATAAATGACTGTGCAATTTAAGTGAAAAAATATCCCATATGAGTGTCAGAATATACAAAAAAAATTAACATTCAAGGCCTTCCATGTCTTGTCCTTATATGTGTTTCTAGTTCTATCTTATAATCCCTCTAATAATCCCTCTTTCATAGTCAGCATGATACACAGGGGGAATCAAACCCAGTGGTGTGCAAAGCAGAAGTGGTAAAGTGTGACTGTCAATGGATAGCTTATGTAAAACATTAGAATCTGTTACTTGGCATGTGACCAAACAATATTAACACCAGACAAATATTGGAGTGCCCTGAAAGCAGATCCTGAAACTGCAGCCTGATTATAGGTAGTTTATTTGGGAAGTGATGCCAAGAAGCAAGTGTAAGAGACCATGAAGTGTAAGAGAACAGGCAGGGAAGGAGGAAGGGACTTGCTATTGAGGTTGCCACTATAGGCAACAGGAACTTAAGGGCCTCTGAGAGGGGACAGATGCCTTCCAGAATTGTCTGGCCAGTGGATGGAGGCTGGGAGTTTTATCCAGCAGCTTCCATCCCCATTGGCTGAGGGTTGCTCCCAGTGGTGTTGACTCTCCAGAACTTCCAGGAGAAGTGCTTATGCTTGGGCTGAGTATCTCATGGAGACTTAGAGCAGGTCTTGAGAAAGAATAACAAAGAGAAACGTGGAAAGCGCTCAAGGTGGGATGTCTGCAGAGGACGTGGATCTGTTCTCCTCAGCAACAGCTGAAATCAGAGGCTGGCCCAGTGGGTGAAACGTAAAGCAGCAAATCCTTTAATGCAGAGTCCATCGTCATAGCTGTGAATGTGACGGTAAATGACCCGGAATCAGCAAACAGACAGTATGGTGAAGGAATTGTGGTTTGGTTGCATTAATTGCTCTGTTTATTATTTGTATGGGTTAAGATGCTTTCAAAACAGAAGGTATTTTCCTGCCTGCCAACTGTGTGCTATCACTCCTAACATAAGTCACCAACTTCTGAGCATCTTATTGTTATCTTTTAATTGTTTTGTCTTATTTTGTTCTTTTTGCCTGAAATTGCTTTCCATTACCCTCACTGTACCCAATGAGATCTTATTTCAGCCCTCCCTCTACCACTATGTTCTAGTAACACTAGATGCTTATGATGTCCTGAGGATCCCTCTATTTTCTTTGCTCATGGATAGTCTTTATTCCTAGAATGTTATGTTCCCCACTTCCTATTCAGCTTTTAAAATGGAATACATGTATCTCATTCTTACTAACGCCTTGTTCACCATGACAATCAGTGTACATTTTCTCAATCTTTTTTCTAAGATACTCATCAAACTCTTTGTTCATCTCTCACTCCCTAACAGTCACCCAGTCTTTGTCATCCTCACGCTCCCCAGGCTGCCTAGAATGTTGCCTTGTCCTTAGACAGACAGCTCAAAATGCATTTGTTAATTTGAATGAATGTACAGTTACAGAACAGAAGATTTATTTTGCTCATTATATTTGCCACTATATTATGTCAGGTAATTTTAGCCTATTTTCCAACAGAATGTTGAAGACATTGGCATAGAACTTATTTGAAAGCTTATTTTCCAGTCCTTTTGTCTTGTCCTACTGAACATAATACCACACTTATGTGGTACATCTTTTCTCATTTAATGTGTTATGTAGTTAGCAACAGGTCTTAGAAAAATGCAAAACAGAGTTCCTGGTTTGGTTTAACTTTTAAAAAATAATTTAACCAAAAAGGTCATTTATTTATTCTTTAATTAATAGTAAGTCAGCTGTACCTCGAGCCTCTCCTTTGCAATATGTTTTAATACCTGTGCATGGAATGAAGGGTTGATATAATAGCAGAGAAAGTATAGTTGAAAACCTTGAAGAAATAAAAAAAGAGCAGGGAGTATAAAGACCATAAAAATGAAGGAGAGACTAAAGGTAGTATCAGAGAGGGGAGAGGAACAGACCATAGCAAATGTATCCAGCCCTGGGAGAAGATTGCTATAATTGTTGAAGTATTTACAGAAATTGGCCCAATGTGAGGCAATTGTTATTCTTCATCTCTCTAGTCTTTTGTATGGTGATAAATTAAAATGCATTTTTTAAAAGCACAAGAGGACAGTTTGACTTTCTGCATATATTTGCAGAGGGGAACAAACATCAAAGTCTTTTATATGAGAAACAATCCCTCTTTAAGCCTGTCTCGATGTTGTTAATACCAAGTCTTGCTTCTTCATGTCCCAAATTACTAAAAACAAAAGTTTATTGTTACTGTCTCTGTCCCCTCGTCTCCCATGTATTCTTCAAGCTTTAGCAGTAGGACTCTTGCTCCAGTTTTTCCACTGAAACTACTCTAAGTTCAGCAGGAACCTGTTAGTGGTCAAATCCAATAGACAAGTCTAGGTTATTTTCATTTAATTTACCTTTGAAATTAGATTTTGAAACTTATTATCTTCTTGAAATTTCTTTGCTGCCAGTGTCCTGGTTTCCTTTATTATAATATTTAATGACTCGCTTTTCAAATGGATTATAAAGGACCATGTATTTCCATCTTGACATTTTGCACAATACCGTGCACTTGCTAGAAATGTAAAGGATGGTTTTCAGAGTATCTGTTGAATTGAATCAAGTAAAATGGAAAAAAGTTCCAACAAGTTCATAATGTGGACATTATAATTGTGTTTGGTACAATAGGTGCATTTGGAGAGCACTGACACAGATTTATTTGAAAGTTTCTCCTTTATCTGTCCTTTGGCTAACCGTGGACACAGGTAACTGTGTTGATGGCCTAAGGGAGGGGGGTAGGGGCCGGGTGGAGGTGGGTAAAGGGCGATAAAATTGGGGACATCTGTAATAAAGCCAACAATAAATTTTAAAAAAAGCTTCTCCTTTAGTTGTCGGTCATTTGCTCTCTTTGCTTCTTGGCCATCATCTCAGTCTCTTTTTAAGTTTGTCTTCCATCTGCGTGACTCCCCTAGATGGTCCTGTTTCCTAAGGTTTCATTTTTAGACATCTCCTTGTTGTGATCCCCTCTCTCTATGGTCATGTCCACCTCCTTGGTTTAAATTGCCCCCATGCGTATGCTGGCTTTCAGTCGCATTTCTCTAGGGCTGGTCTTCTTTTAGCTTTCCTTCCCCACGTCCTGGTTACAAATGAGAGAAGAGGCGGATGGGGGAGAGAAATGGTCACTGAAGATGGCTCCCCTTCGGAGAGATTCCTTCAGCTTCTCTCTTAGGTATCTGGAGCTAGCACAGCCTGTGGTTCCCGGTTCCTCCGGTCAGTCTTTGTGGAGGTCAAACAGATCGTTCATGCACTGCGTTTGCCTGGTAACCCCTTCCCACTCTGCACCCTGTCCGAGTAAGGGCTCAGTAAATATTGATTAGTGGTCACTAGTGGTTTGCCTTTCTGTATGCTAAGGAGAATTTTCCCTTGAGGATTTCCTATAGCCTTTGTGAAATGGTTGGTAGCCAGGAAATTTCACAGTGCTGAGCAAGCTCTACCATCTTGGGCAAAGGTATTTTTCTCAAAGAATCTATAATTATTATGGATTTATTTTCCTATAATCACTATAGAAAGATAGACCGTGCTCTTCTTTTTTTTATGTAGGTACATCATTCAACCCCTTAAAAATGTATTATTATTTCTAATGTAATCCAAAACTAGGTTAAGTGTCTATTTTTTAAAAAAATACCCTAAAATATAATTTTCACAAAAGGAAAATTATAAATTTTCTGTCTGATAGCTGTTCATTTCTTTGTTTTCCCATATAGAGGTTATTAAATTAAATGAAGGGGTGATCAAAAAACTCTGGGGCCATTCATAATCATTGACATTGTTAATGGAACATTCCATGATATTGTGATCCTTAAGCGTTCAATATTATATAAATTCAGTGTATTAATTTTCTCATGCTGTTTTAAATTTCTGGAACTATCTGCTGAGTAGAGTAATTGCCTGATTGTCATTTATAAGCTTACACATAATCTAATTAAAAGAACTAATTGTAGCAGAATGTTACACTTGTTTAATAATTTAAGGTGTGAGGGCAAGAACAATTAATGCAAATGAAGAGAATTGGACGTCAAACTCATTTATGATTCTCCTTGCTCTATTAATCTATTATCAACTGGCATAATCGGTGATCTAACTTGGTTTAATCACCATGACGTCTACAGTTTAGCTAATCAAAATTTATCAGTTCCTCCAACAAGGTAGAAAATGTTTCATAATTTTGTAATTATGAAAATACATGATGTACAATGTTGTTTGTACACATGCATAAACATTACAGTAGTGTAATTTCTTTGAGGGGAAAAATGGACATATTATCACTTATAATCTGACTTTTGGGCTAAGTACAGGTAAAGAAAAAATTAGAGACTTTTGAGAGCAAGAGAGCTATTGCTCGATACGATTTTCTTTGATATTTTGCTTATTTTAGCTTTGTAAGTGACATACATACACAGTCTTAAATATGATTTTAGGGATTGTGCAAAAATATATAAAATAAATATAGCTGCTGTTGTAAAAATACAAAATAACATGAACTACTTCCTGACTTTTTTGAAAAGCATGAATTTTCTGTTTCTTCTTAGCTCCGCAAGGCTATTATAGATCATGTGTCAGATTCTTTTCTGGATACGACAGTCCCACTTTTGGTTCTCATCGAAGCTGCCAAGAATGGCCGGGAAAAGGAAATAAAAGAATATGCTGCGATATTTCGTGAACACACCAACAGGCTTGTGGAAGTAAGTGCGCTCGAATTTTAACTACTCTACGTCTGGGAGAATGGGGTCTCCTTCCCCATTTACAGTTGAGTTATACTTAATAATAACTCGTGACAACTTATTACCAATGAAGCAGAGCTGGGCCAGCGTAATATAAAGGTATAGATGTCAAACTATGTAAACCATTCCCCATTGGCTTGGAAAAGGAGCAATTTATTTAGAAAGAGCTATGAACCTATAATCAATATTTAAATGCCTATTTTTTAAATGCCTATTTTTTCAGAGCTACACAGATAAACCGGTTAAATGCATAGCATATAGTTTGTTCTATCCTTACAAATATTTTCTTTCCGTTGTAACTTAAAAGTATCAAATATTCTATCTCATGCTAATTTTTTGTTTTTCTACCATATTTTCATGGTTAGTTCAACCTTTCATTACTGTTTCAACTTTTAAATAATATTCCGCTATGTAATGTGACTACAGAATAAGAATGTAGGATACAGAGGGGTAGAGAGGTCTAGAGTAATTAAGTAGGGTTTAGTGGATTGGTCCATGTCTTAGTTGGGGCAAGAGGAGATGATAAAACTATAATTTCCTCTGACTTGTAACCTAAAAACATGGAAATGCTCCATGATTTGGGGGACTGGGTGGCATTTGTTCCAGGGGCCATGAAGGACTGGGTGGTTACCAGTAGACACATAATGGAACCAATTGTGTTATGGGCATTAAAATGCAGCCACAGTGTAAGATAGAGCCTAGATGGAAGAATTTCCAGCACCCAGTAATATGACAGTCCTCAGAAGGCTGGGGACTAGTGGCAGGAAGGGGGAAATGTGATTGACCACATCCGTATGCCAGAGCTGGTACCCATCAGTAACCATCAGTATGACTGTGCCAGTTATTGGGGCTAATGTCTAGTCTCATTCTCAGGGCCTGTGCCATACTGTTTCGACTGTCACACCTTCCTATACTGGCCATGAACACTGGTGAAATATGTGTTTGGGGGCCCAAGTTGCTTGTAAAACTTGTGTTAGATATAGTCACCATCTGGATTAGAACCACAGCTTTCAATATAACATATACTAAAATAGAGGGCTCTACCAACCTCTTTTATGTGGATCCACTGGGAAGGAAGTTTCTAATGTTGGTAGCACATGTACTATAAACTCTCTTTCTGAGTCCCAGTCCTCAGATCTAAAAAATGAAAGGAGTGGATAAATAAATGGCTGCTAAGATCACTTCAGCCCTAAACTTCCCCCACCTTCAACTTTGACATGTCCTTTGAACTTCCCAAGAATTCCATGAGACAGGGCAATGGTTACAATTCCCATTGACCTTATATGGAAATAAACATACAAAACCCAAACCAGGTTAATTAGAGTCAGAGCTGATTTCCAGGTTTGCAATTTTTAACTAATTTGTTCATTATTTATCTAGTTTTTTTATTCCTTCTTATACTCATTCCTCCAATATTTTTTAACTATTTCCCCAGGAAAGCGTTCAGAGCAGAGGGAGCAGATTGTTAAAGGACCTCAGGGTAGCCCCTGAGAATTGTAAAAGTTTTGTCTAAAAATATGTTCTCTGAGCTGAAGGCACCCAAAACCAACTTTTTGGTGAACTATTCTGAGAGTAAAAATTGATTTCTGTTAATAAAGTTGCATCCCCGTTTCTATTTCTCAGTTTAGTATTTCTATGAAACATAAGCCTCATGAGATGTTCGTAAAGAAGGACTCCTTGATCACACAGTTTTGGGGGAAAATGTTTATTCTCTTGGACATTTTATATTTCTGAAAAATCCATGTCAGAATTTCCCCAAATCAGTTAACTAAGGAACTCTATTTCATGTCACTTATTAACAAGGCCCTGCCTTCAGGGAGCATTTGAGAATGCCACCTTAATTTATTACCAAATGATTGTCTTTTATTATGTAGGCAGAGCTCTTCAGGTCTGTTTTAAATGTTTAAGGATTTTGAAGATTATGTATCTTATGTGATTATTGAAAGAAAAGATTTTGGAATTTTGAGCTACTGGAGGACCGAAAATGAGTCCAATTTAACTCTGCATGTTCCCTTAGCACATTATAAAACTATACTAGATTTGGAGTCTTCTAACTCTCACCCTGATATACTTAGAAGCTGGCCTAAGTCATTTTCAGTTTCACTTAGCTTTTAATATATAATAGACCATCCCCAAACTTAGTGCTTAAAACAGCCATTTATTATTCTCGCACTGATCTGTGGGTTGACTGGGCAGAGATGGGCAACTTTCACTTAGGGTCTCTCATGTGATTACTGTCAAATATTGTCTGGGGATGTAGCCCTTCAAAGATTTGACTAGGCTAGACATACAGGATGGCACATTCCCATGACTGAAAGTGCATGTAGCTGTCAGCTGGGAGCTTAGCTGTGGGTGTCGAGAGAGCACCAATACATGGTTGCCCTGTGTGACTTCAGCTCATCACGGCATAGTTGCTGGGTTCTGAGATGAGAGGTCTTAGGAGCAAGACAGAGACAGAAAGTAGAAGCTGACATTCTATTAAGGCTGGGCCCAGAAATTGGCAGGATGAGACCTCCTCTGCATTTTATTGGTCAAAGCAATCACAGAGCCTGTCCAAACACAAGGAGGGGGTGGCAGGTAGGGGGCATGAGACTACTTTTCAATGGAAGGAATAGCAAAGGTTTTGTGGCCACCTGCGATCTACTACAGTTCTCTGGGCTTCATTTTCTTTATCTATAAAGTGAAGGTTAAAAAAAGATCATGTCTAAGGCCACTACCAGTTTCTAAACTTCTGTGATCCAACAAATACTTTCTTAAAATTGAGAGACTTCTGTTTTTCTAAGAGATATAGACATAGGAGAAAATAGAAATGATTTTTTAGGTATACTGCTTGTACAGTGTTCTTTATTAAGAAGGAAACAAAAGAGCACTACATTTATCTCCCAGGAAAATTATTGTTTGAAAAGAGATGTCTAACCAGAGCAACAGAGAAAATCATCGTTAACTTATCACAAACATTGAGCCAGAAGCGTCTGTGACAGTCAGGGAAATAGAGCTTATAAATAACAGTTTCCGAAGCCATTCTGGGTGCGCTCTGTAGAGGCTGCTTACCAGCCCTGCACCTCCCCGCGCAGACACACCACGTGCCCCTCTCGCCCCCGAGCTGGGCAGTTTCACGTAGCAGGCCGGGAAGGTCCATTCTAAAAGGCTTCGAGAAAAAGCTGTTTTCAGCGTGTCTGGGTTTGGATACCACCACTGTGTTTGTCAGAGAAATCCAGAATCAGTGGACTTGCTGAAGTTAGACTTAAATAAAACAAAAGTTCACTTTTAAAGAATTCCTGTCAGATCTTTGAAGAAGAGCTCTGTGCTGTTAAAGGAACACTTTTGATAATGATTCATGTATAACTTTTACAAAACAGATAGTAAAAAGTGGAACTGAACACAAAGCATTAAGGCAACAACAATGAAGAAATTATACAGGTGATAATTAGAAAACCAACAGGATTTGGGGTGTTGGAGAAAAGAAGCGGAAATAAGGAGCAAGTTGGCCAATAATTAGGGCTGAGCGCTCATGATCTCCGGCGGAGTCACATGTGAGGCCTCCTGTTAAATTATCACGTAGTTTGTAAAAAACTATAAGATGCTCATGGTTGAAACGATGGTTATAAAATCCTGGGTAGTGCCAATACTTGGAGAACCTACATCCTTGTGACTAATTTTATTTTGTTATGCTGAACTATTATGCAAAGCTGTTCCTGCTTTGAACATCCAAGTTACTCTGTGTTTTTGGATCCACCAAGCCACAGTGGGAAGATGAAGCAGGAATCAAGGAGCTGGCATTTTGAAAGTCATCTTCGCCTAGTGATTAGCAATTAGTGACAAATGTGCTCACTGAATTATGTGCCCAGTACTTTGATCTTGCACAGACAGTCACCTAGAGCACCATTAACTCTACTGGATTCCACCAATAATACCTATTAAACAGAAAATTTGAAAATGTTAATTTTGTCTTAATATTCAGTAATTCTAGAGAGTAGGCATTTTATCTTTTATCATTTTGAGACTCCTCAAATAATAGCAAAATCTTTGCTCCTAGTGCCAAATCAGTCGGTACTGAGGGAAGGAACACATTCCTAACAGCAGCTCAGTTCTCATTCTCTCTAAACAGTTGACTTTGTGGATCTCATTTCCTGGACTGGAGATATATGCCTGAGCCCAATTATTTAGTAGAGGACCTCCCTACTCCACTGTGCATGGATGCCTTAAAGTGATTCTTCACAGTGATTTAGCAGGTGCCTTTTCCATTAATTATCAAGAGCAGACACTATAAACCGAGCTGAAGATTTTGCTCAGGACTTTGTGACAATTTGATAGAATCTTTAAAGAACTTTGCCCACTCTAGAGGTGCAATCTGTAACTTTAATGTGATAATACAACTATTATTCAGAAGAATAATTGTCATTATATTCAACAAATGTATTATTTATTATAAAGGTCATTATAATAAATAATACACATTTCTCTGAAATTAATTTTAAAACTCCACTATTATTTTTGAATCATATTTTAATTTGTTCTCAGAAAATCAGTTCATGCCAACACTTCAGTTGCTAGTAAGACTATAAAACCTCCAGTTTATCCCATGGGTTTTAGCATATTAATTATTGTTAACTACGACAGTGTTAATGGTCTATGAATTAAGGAAGTTTATATGAAAGCCAGCTTTCCTCAGTGCTTTGACTTACTCATCAAAAATTCATCTGTCTTCACCCTATTTTAGTAAGTTTCATGGGAGCCTTTTATCAAAAAGGAAAAAAGGAGGTGGACATTTAATTATAATACTTCCTTCCAACCTACAAAGCTGATTGTTCCCACTCACAAAATGGTGAGCCAGATTTAGCAGAGCCCCCGCGCCAAAAGAGAAGGCTTCAGAGGGACTCTTGCTGTTTTGCAAGAAGTGCTTACTGCTCTCAGCTCTCCTGATGTCTTTGCCTGTTGACAGGACGCTGTTCCATGTCACA